GAGAGAGAGAGAGAGAGAGAGAGAGAGAGAGAGAGAGAGAGAGAGAGAGAGAACAATAGTATGAAAATTCTGCTCATATCTTAGAACCATTGTTTCCAAACTGTTTGGTGAGGCAGGACACATTTGTACTTGACAAGAACACAGATTTATATCTAAGCAATACTTAACTCTTACTTGTGAGCATTTGGACATGCTACATCAATCCTTTTAACATGTATTACATACTCACAATGTCTCAAACACTGTGATACATATTGTCTCATCCAATCTTCACAAGAACCCAAGTTCATGCAATTAAGCAATTTCAAAGCTAGTGTCCTCAACCAGGTGTAAATCTGGTGATTGTAAAAACATGAATCAAGTGACCCTTCTGATGGTGTTCTGCCCAAATTCCTTCTCATAGCTCTACAGCACATGTCAATCATGTTTAGTAGAGAAGTGACAGAGCAGATTTTTTTCTAATTTTGCTCCACATCTTGTATGTGCCCATAAATTCTTTTTATGGAAGAGGAAACTGTCTCTGATTAGTTCTGTGTAACTGTAGTCCTTCTGAGCACAACCTGCAGTCCAACTGCTCCAGATATGGCCCCTGGCTCTGCTACCAGCTAGCTTGGAGACCTGTCAAGTGACTGTATTCTTCTGATCCTCATTTATTTGTTTATAAAACTGATTGATAGTAGATACCTCTGTGGTAGTCTTAATTACTAAAGGAGGTGACTAATGGAAAAACACTCATAATGTTCCTAATACTGGTTTTAAAGGAGCAACTGTATTCTATTTGTATTTTAAGCACAGTGGACAAATCCTTTTCATCCATCCAAGACAGAAGACAGTTCCAGCTTCTTAGTGGATAAGATGTTCACAGTGAAAGTGCCCATGATGCATCAGGTAGAACAATTCCATTACTTGGTGGATACAGAACTGAATTGCACAGTGCTGCAAATGGACTACAACAAAAATGCTCTGGCACTCTTTGTCCTTCCCAAAAAGGGAGACATGGAAGGGCTGGAGTCCACTATGTCATCAAAAACACTGAAGAAATGGAATAACTTATTGCAGAAAGGGTAAATAATTTAAAGAATGTGAAAAAGAGAGGTGGGCATACCAGTGTGGGTGGGATTGAATTCAGCAGAAACTCAGAGGCAGGAGAATGTCCCTGAACTGCCTAACAGCTGTATAACTATTAATGGAGTACAAAATGTACTTACCATATACCAGGACCTTTTCTCTAGACTTATTATCACCTTTAATTTAAGAACATTAACAAGCCTGGAAATTATTTAGTAGTATTGGCATTTTTCAAAATAAAAATTCAGGCCTAGGAATATAGAATGAGTTCTGCAAAAATATACTGCTAATAAATTGAAGCGTTCCTAGTGATCAGCTACAATTTTGGGGAACGGCTTGGATTTTGATGGTAAAAGTTGGGTAGCCAGTTATTCTGGGGATGGGATTAAGAGCAGTACTCATTGACCTTCTTACTATTGGCTTCCTACTTTGTCAGCACCACAAGGATGTTTCCTTTTCAAAATGAAGGACTTACATATCCATAGTGTCAGTGTTACAGCCAACATTGTCTGAACCAGAGTGCATTACTTACAGAATAACTTCGGTGGGTTTTGTAACATGTGCTAATCTACATAGCAAGGCGTACTAATATTCATTAGAGGAGCAGAGTCAAATAAAATACCACCATGAGAAAGAGAAAGAAGGGGAGAATCATGAGCTCAGTATGCTGATTTCAATGTATTTCTTTGTTTCCCACAGGTGGGTTAACGTTTTTGTTCCAAAATTTTCCATTTCTGCCACATATGATCTTAGAATTATGCTTGTGAAGATGGGCATTGAAGATGCCTTTGCTGACAATGCTGATTTTTCCGGACTCACAGAGGACAGCGGTGTAAATCTTTCCTATGTAAGTCTTTCGGTAGGGACCATGATTACAATTGAATGAACCATTTAGAGGCCCTTCTCATTTCATCAATGAGGAATTCCCAGAGATTGAATCTGACTCCTCCTAGGCTTCAGTCTCACCAGAGTCATTGCCATTATTCTAAATAAGCCATTGTAGAATTCTTTCCATCCATGACCTTCACATTCTAAAATGACTCTAATAGAAATGCTTAATGATCAGAAGTAATTCTATTGACATGAAGTACTGGAAAAGGGGGCATTTAAGAGATCGCTCCTGGAAGCAAAAGGTCATGAAGAGTGAGCTACTTCCCTAAAACTATAGGGGTTTAGAACTAAACAGCCAAGTAGCCTTCATATTCAAGCAGCATTAACACAGTAAGGCCAAATGGTAGGTCAAACTTCCTTGTATTTTCTGTTTCCAAACCCTTGCTAAAACTGTTGTTATTTTTCTCTTCAAAGAATGTAAAATGGCAATAGAAAAAAAAACAAGCTTTGGAAGTGATAAAAAATTCACTAAACAAAATAGTAGGAATTCAACAATTGTTGCTGTATTGCATGTTATCTTCAAATTAGTTGTTTAGGATACCAGATGTAAATGTGCAAGTTTGATTTAAAATAAAAAAAACTAATAACAAAGTAGTTGTAAGAAATTCAAAATAAAATAAAATAGAAACAAAAAGAGAAAAAAAATTAAGCATTAACTGCTCCCTTCAAAAGAGCAGCAGAAATCGGCAGTACATTTATCCAAACTATCCTGCATATAAACATAAGTGTATCTTTTTCACTTCTTTCTTTTGTCATTTTCCTCATAATTGTTGTTGTTTCACCAGGGCATCAATAGTGGTTTTGTTTTCTTAACAGGCTGCTCATAAGGTTGTGCTGAGCATTGGTGAAAAAGGAACAGATGATGTCACTGTCTCTGAAGTCAAATTCCCGGATCAATCTGAAAGCACCCTCCTTCATCCTATTATCCGATTTGATAGAACTTTTCTGTTTATGATTTTGGAGAAAAACACCAGAAGTGTTCTTTTTCTAGGGAAAGTAGTGGACCCAACAGAAGTATAGTTTGGAAAGAGGCCACTGGGTAATTGCTTGTACATATTACAGCAGGAAATAAATAAATAATATAGTGCAGATTGTTGATGTGGGCTTGGGCTTGTTTTTCTTTGTGAAAAGGTGAAGACTGAATTCAGGAAGACCTAGGTGTGGAAATCATTAATCCTATGATCAAGCACTCAAATAGTCAATGAGTGTTTCATTTTTGTCAAAAACACAGGGAAGCTCTATATAAGTATATTCCTCAGACGCCCACCAATTATATAGCTCCAGCAAATTAGACTTAGGTTATAAACGTCTGCCTCTGCTCTCTTGGGAAAAGTGGAGAGGCAAAGCATGGCTTTATATTCCAATAATGATATAAAAAGCAAAATTATCAAATGTTGTGGATAAGAGTTCAACTTTTCAACCTTCCTTCATCCACCACATCAGCATGATTCTCTGCAATCTTGTCAGAATTTCCATTGATAGATTCTCCAACAACAGGACCAAGTACCAGACTGAGATCATATGTTTTAAGATATAGACTCTGTGTCCTAATAAACATAGGATAGCAGAGCAAAAGTGAAATGAGCCCCGTTGTACAAGCCTGTTTCTTTCACTAAATTGTTTCTATCTTGTTAGTTTATAAGATTTACTTTTCTTTCAATTAAAATATTGGTATTATAAAAGTATAATTTCTCTCAAAACCAATCAAGAAACAGTAGAATTTCATTGAAAACTCTCAATAGAAATTCCTGTAGAGCTAGTAAAATTGACTTCAACATTCATATGTAAAAACAAATAATTTATGAATGACCAATAAATTTGGAGAAAAAACAAATTTACATTTGTTTGTTGGGGGGAAAATGATAAAATCATCTAGGCCACACAATGATACTTTAATATACACATAAGGCCATCAAAGAGAATACTATTCTCAAGGCAAATACACATATAAACAGAAATTGGGTATATGATAGAATTGAAATGCAAATATGAAGAGAAATAATGATTTCTATTATTAGACAATGGACTTACCATGTGGAGAAAATACTAAAACTTTACCTTTTTCTACACATTAGAGTATATTTTAGAACCGATCGTCAATGTAGAGTGTGCCTAAGGAGAGTCACAAGGAGAGAAAAAATTCTCTCAGGCTTTCACAGAGAGCAAACTGGTCAAGCAATGGCCATGACTCATCCACTGGCTGCAACTGACAAAACATCCACAAACTGTGGTACAGGATTTAAAGGTAAATCCTCAGGGGATTTGACTGACCTTGTCAGACACAAAAGTTACATTTCTTGTTATATAGGTCTTTCTTTATCTTGGTCTTAACCATTCAGAAGAAAAGTATAAAAATGAGGTATAAAAACTAAAGCCATATTAATATGATGAGCTGTAAAATGTTCAAGTCAACAACTTCTGACATTGCCAGTCATGTGGATAGCCCACTACTATTATAGACTACTGGACTATATTAGATTACTTTGCTGAATTAATACCCATACACCTACAATATATGAATGACAATGGAATACCCATCTCTGACAAAAGTAAACAAAAAAGGGGATATAAATGAAGGACCATTTTGTAGTAAATATATATTATATATTTTTTATATTATATATATATTATATCTTTATATATAAAATGTCCTAGATATACAACTACTTTCTCTTAGTTCAATGAGAAGAAAGCTTTGAACTAATGGAGTTTAGACAAGACATCATGTCTGCATATTATACTATCAATAACTATTACAAAGACAACAATATGCAGTGTTTTAATTATTGTAACTGTCCTACTAAAATGAATGGTTTAATAAAAAAGAATATATTCTAGATGGATTAGAGAGTTAAATATAAAAAGAAAGCTTCAACAACATTAGCAATGAAGATATTTTATGAAATGGTGAATGGGGAATGATATTTGTATACTGACAATATTCAAAGCTCATATCAGAGAGCTACCATATCAGAGAACTATAAAATTTGTAATCTTGAACAAAACCTTCTAATTAAATAAGTACAATTTAGTTCATAAATAGGAATAATGTTTTTGAAATTAGTACAATAAATTCCTGTAAAATAACTAGGAAATGGCACATAGACCAAGAGAAATCATAAAAATGTCAATGCTGAGGACAAAAAAAATGTTTGATCTATGAAAAGTGTATTTAGCTAAACTCAATCACAAAATACTAATAAATCTAAATTCCTGGATGTGGGAAGTTTGTTTGCATCTTTTTTTTACATTTTTATTGCAGTATATACAAAAGACACACTATTCATAAGTATTGAGCTCAGTAAATTTTAACAAAATATACATATCTCTATTATGGGTACCTAACACTGAGAAGGAAGCATTATCTGCACTACAGAAATCCTTCTGTACTTTGTATTTCCTACTCCTACAGTGTAACGGGCTACCTGACTCAGCACCACAAGTTACTTTTCCACGATATTAATCTATGCAAATTGGAACACACAGGTTATATTTTAGGTGACTGACATTGTTTTGTTCTTTCTTTTCAGCAGTAGGTGCTGAGTAGTTGCAAACCTTTTCATCCTTCTTGTATGTTGTATGATTTTTGTATTAAAATTCTAACCACATTTTCACTATCTGTTCTAATATTGATAGACATTTTGGTATTTTTACCTTGTAGGTTATTATAAGTAATGTCTACCTAAGCAGGTCTTTTAGTGAAAAAGATTTCTCTGAATTATCTTGCTGATGGTAATACATTTAGGAGTATAATTGCCACGTGTATATATAATCTGATTTGCACAATTCCCACATGATAATACTCAAAATGCCCAAAATCCAAGAAGAAGTTGCATAGCTTATGGAGAAATAAGAGCACATAGTCAATACACTGCAAAGAAAAAATATTAATAGAAAGTGTCCTAGTGAAGAACAGACACTGACATTACTAAAGTAGTACTTTACTTTTTGAGACAAGGTCTCATATGTAGTGCAATCTGGATTTAAACTCATTTTGTAGCCTAGGTTGGCTTCAAACTCAGAGTAATGCTCCTGTCTCAGGCTTCAAAGTGCTAAGAACTAAACAAAGTCTTTAAAATAACTATGTATGAGGCCACATCTCCTGTAAGAATGAAGATCATTCTTAGTATGCAGACTGTTGCCATTCCAGAAAATGTCAAAATCACTCTGAAAGGACGCACAGTTATTGTGAAGGGCCCCTGAGGAACCCTACTGAGGGATTTCAACCACATCAATGTGGAACTCAATCTCCTTGGGAAGAAAACGAAGAGTCTCTGGGTTGACAAATGGTGGAGAAACAGAAAGGAGCTGGCGACTGTCTGCAGGATCTGTAGCCATGTACAGAACATTATCAAGGGGGTCACACTGGGCTTCCATTACAAGATGAGGTCTGTGTATGCTCACTTCACCACCAACGTCTTTGTTCAGGAGTATGGGTCTCTTGTCAAAATCCAGAATTTCGTTTTTTTTTTTTTTTCACTCAAAGCATATACACTTTATTTTTTCCATAATCTTATTGAGAAACAAATAGCAATGAGACAGTTTCAAACCAAATTGGTAGGACAGTTTCAATAATTAGCACATTACATGCATTCTTCCTAGTGGTTAATTGCTGTGCAAGCTGTGGACATGATATCCTATTTACAAACACTATTAGAGCAAATCCTTCTATTCATTAAGAGAATGTATCTATATATCTATCTTAACCATTTTGAATACACAGATAAAAAATGGACATTCATCTGTATCCCTTCTTTTGTTTAGTTCCATCATTTGAATATTATAGCTGTGTTAACTCAGAAAAATTTTCTTTTTTATTTATTTATTTTTTTCCGGAATTGAGGATTGAACGCAGGCTCTTGCGTTTGCCAGGCAGGCTTTTATTCTACTGAGTCATCTCCCTAGCCAGGAAAATATTCTAAAAGAGTCCAGTAGTTCATAATAGTATTGGGTCTTCCACTTCACTGGCAATATCAGAAATTGTTGACCTGAGTCTCCTACAACTCAACATAACAGCGTGGCTTTACTTCTTATACTACGTTTTTATACTTTTTTTTGCTGGATGGTTAAGACCAAAGTAAAGCAAGACCTATGCAACAAGAGTTGTAGCTTTTGGGTCTGATAAGGTCAGTGAAATCCCCTCAGGATTTATCCTGAGATCCTGTACCTCAGATTGTAGAACTTTTGTCAGTGTCAGCATTGTGGATGAGTCACGGCCATTGCTTGACCATTGTGCTCTCTGTGAAAGCCTGAGAGAGTGTTTTCTCTCCATGTGACTCTCCTTAGGCACACTCTACATCATCGATCACTTTCCTCTTTGGCCTCATAATCTCCTTGATCAGAAAATTTGGGACACTTCTGAGTTACGTGATGTTACAGCACAAGTTCTCATATGTCCTGAGTCTTAATTGACCTCGGAAGGCTATGGCCAAAATTTTGACTTTCCTTGCGGCCCTCATTTTTCTCTAATTTTGGTCTACAAACTTAGTTTGTTAACGTCCAGAAGACAAGCTTATTGTTATTACCATACAGCTTAGACTGTTAAGCTTAACCTCACTATTTGTCTGAATATCGAACATCTTAGGCATAGCATAGAACAGATATTTTTCATCAAGTATTGATGTGTTGAACTTTAAGTCCCTACAGAATATGAGGAAAAAACATTTAAAAATTAGAATATATTTTAAAAATAGGCATAAAGAAATATATAATTCTTATGTTTCTGCATAAGTCCAACAATCTAAGTGTGAAATACATTCACTGAGTTCATGTGAGGGCAGGCGTTGCTTGTTCGGTATCTCAAGCCCAGAAAGATGAGCTAATCCTTGAAGGACATGATGTTGAGCTTGTTTCAAATTCAGCTGCTTTGATTCATCTGGCCACAACAGTCAAAAATATGGTTATCAGAAAATTTTTGAATAATATCTATGTTTCTGAAAAGGGAACATTTCATTATCCAGATGAATAAAATCCAAGAGGTAATCCAGCCACAGAAACAAGTTTCTGGACTAAAAAGCCAATCTGTGATATTTTAATGAGATAATAAAAGATCTTTATTTAAAAACAAACTATTTTTGAACAGATCTTTATTTAAAAAA